GATGATAAGCGCTCTTGAGGTCAACAGTGCTATATGTGTTGTAGTTGGCAATGTGCTCAATCATTTCATCTATTTTGGGAGACGGATAGGCATCGAGTAGAGTGTATTTGTTGATCGTCTGGCTATAATCAATAACCATTCGCCTTTTGTGATTTTCATTGGCTACCACCAGGACTTGGGCTCGCCAAGGGGAGAAAGAAGGCTCAATCACTCCATTAGACCAAAGATGACGAATCTCTTCCCGAATAAATCTTTCATCAACGTCAGTGTGTCGACGATATTTAGTTGCGATTGGTTTACAGTCCGGCGTTAGATTAGGAAATAAAAGAGGAGGATCGACGCAAGCGGAAGCCACAGAACACGGTGAGAACGTAGGTTTGGGTCCACCAAAGGGAATTTCTACGCTTCTATGTGAGCGAAGGAAATCGTGGCCAAGTAATATGTCGGCACATAAGTCTGGCAAGATCGATAGCCTGAACTTCTCGTAAATGGCGCCTTTATATTTAATCGAGACGAAAATGTGTCCCTGTGTGGCGCTGGTTAGAGCGGTAGTGGCCATAGGCATTTTGGAGCGAGAGTGGTGTATTTTCCAATTATTTCGAAGTACTACCGATGACGAGACGTAGCTCTCCAAGCTACCTCTATCTATTAAGGCTTCGAAAATAGCCCCATTGATCTGTAGTACAGTTACTGTGCTTGAAAGAAAAATCCGGTGCAGTAGCCGATGCGATGGCGGAAATAGTGGTGTGGGTAGAGGAAAGGATCCTTCTGTTTCGCGATGTCATACAAACTTTTTGAAAGTGTCCCTTTTTACCGCATCCTTTGCACAATACATCGCGTGCGGGACACTTCGCACGAGGGCGCCTGTCATACCCGCAAAAGAAACATTTATTGTAGGACGGACTGGAAGCTGCGATGTTCGCTGATTTGCTAGGACTGCACGGAGTTTCGCACACCTCGGTAGAGGCAGTGAATGAAGTTGTTGGAAGGTTTTGATAAGATAAAGCCTGTTTTTCAACCAATTCTAAAGATCTTGCTTGATCAAATGCTGTGTAAAAATTTGAGGTTTTCTGTTCCAACTGTCTTTGTCGAATTTTATTTGCTCAGAGACCACTAATAAAGGCATCTCTAACAGCGTCATCCTGGTTTTTTTCTGCTGGAAATGCTTTGAAATCGCAGTCTTTGTCTAAAGATTTTAGTTTCTGAGCGAATTGATCGAGGGTTTGTCCACTCTCTTGTCCGCAAATCGCTAAAGGGTGGCGAGCGAAGATTTAGTTTTTAGATGTTGAATATAGCTCTTTCAGGACTTTAATAACATCTTCGTAAGCGGTGCATTCGCTGATGCACTCCTAAACGGTTGGAGAGACATAATTGGTCAGAACACTCAATTGGTTCGGCTTCAAGTTTTCCATCATGGCTATAAAGTTTTCGAACGTGCACAACCAATGATTCCATTGTTTGGAAGCGTCTAGAGCATTCGGATCCACATAAAATCGTTCTGGTTTGAGAAAACGATCCATTTTGAGTTGTAAGATAAATAAATTGTCGTGATCCAGATGGATAGAGTCGATAGAGTCAGTATGTATGAGTCAAACAGTCGAGGAAAGAGAATTATTGAATACTCTATAATTGGACTTTATTCATCTTCTAATTGGCGTACAGAAACTGAAAAAGGATAGGGTGATTAGAGTAATACAGGCAGTTAGTGAACGATCGTCAAGGGGCATGGGTGAACGTTAATTAATAAGGGTAAGAAGGCAGGGGTGAAAGAGGATCAGATTAGTATTAGTACGACAGAAACCTGTGATCTCAAGTTCACTGTTAGCTGTTTAATTGTCTTAAATATTTA